GGCAGAGATGTCTCTCAGGTCTCCTGGGAAGAAGTGTCTCCTTGGCCAATTATCACCTTTTAGGATCTCCTGCAGTCCTTCAAATGTGATAGCCAAATTAAGAGAACAGAAAAAACTTCCACACGAGAATCTCAATTGGTGAAAAAAGCATTTGACAAACTTCAATACCCTTTTGTGATGAAAAGATGTGGCAGTTGGTGCCTGTGGCTCATACCTGTAATCCTAGCTACTCAGGAAGCAGAGATCAGGAAGATCTTGATTCAAAGCCAACCCTAGGCAAAGAGTTCGTGAGACCCTATCTTGAAAAAACCCATCACAAAAAAAGGGTTGGTGGAGTAGCTCAAGTGGTTAGAGTGCCTACCTAGTAAGCATGAGGCCCTGAGTTCAAGCCCCAGTGCTGCCAAAAAAAAAAAAAAAAAAGGCAGCAGCAAATTAGGAATAAAAGGGAATTTCTTCATCATGACAAAGTATTTATGAAGAACCCATAGCTGATGTCATACTCAGTGGTGAAAGACTGAAAACTTTCAGTCACTAAGATTGGAAACAAAATAAGAATGCCTGCTTTTAGATACCTTAAAAGCAACTGAGGCCAATAGGAAAAGGGGACCAGGAACTAGAGAAAAGGTGAGATCAAAAAGAATTAACCTAGAAGGTAACACACACGCACAGGAAATTAATGTGAGTCAACTCCCTGTATAGCTATCCTTATCTCAATCAGCAAAAACACTTGTTCCTTCCTATTATTGCTTATACTCTCTCTTCAACAAAATTAGAGACAAGGAACTTCTGCTGGGTATTGAGGAGGTTGGGGGGAGAGGGAGGGGGTGGAGTGGGTGGTAAGGGAGGGGGTGGGAGCAGGGGGGAGAAATGACCCAAGCCTTGCATACACATATGAATAATAAAACAATAATAAAAAAAAAGAATGCCTGCTTTTACCTCTGCTATTTAATACTGTACTGGAAGTGCTAGCCAGATCAATTAAATAAGAAAAAAAAAAAGCATTCAAATTGGAAAAGAAGCAAAATTATCACTATCACAGACAACATGATCCTATATGTAGAAAACCCAAAAAATTCACGCAAAAATTTCCTATAGCTAGTAAATGAATCTAGCAAAGTCATAGAGTATAAGATCAACAAACAAAAAATCAGTTTTGTTTCTATGCACCAACAGTGAAAAATACAAAAAGGAAATTAAAGCAACGCCATTCAAAATAACATTCAAAAGAATAAAATACATAGGAATAAATGTAACCAAGTAGGTAAAAGAATTATATACTGAAAACAGCTAAGCATTGCTTAGCAATGAAAGAGAGAGCAAACCCTGGACCTCACTTCCTCCATCCCACCAACCTCTTGCCTGGTCCCATATTTGCAGAACAGGTTACAAAATGGGCAAAGGATTGCACAACTGTTGTTCACAGAGATCAGCCTCACGGGATGAGGAGAGGATGTGGGAGGATGCAGAATGGATCAGGAGGGAAAATGGAAGATACCCAGCACATTGCATGACTCCAACATCTGATGTCTTTTCATGTGAATTCCTGATGTATGTCATTTCTTTCAAGCGTAATTATGGTGCCTTCTTTCCTTGTGCTATGTGTGCTGGGGGAGGGGAAGTATTGAACCCAGGGACTTGTGCATGCTAGACAAGTGCTCTACCACTGAGCTGCAACCCCAGCCCACTTGCATATTTTGTGATTTAAAAAATTGTGAGTTTATAGTCCTTGAAGTTTTATCAGTGAGAATTTTGTTTTGTTTTGTTTATGAGACCCAAGAAGCCCGCACTGACCTTGAACTCAAAATCTTGCCTCTGTCTCCTGAGTGCTGGGATTACAGGAGTGCACCCCATGCCTGACTATGAGAATTTTTTGAGGCCTGGATTGGAGAAGTGTTTCACCATTAAATATTTAAAGTGCTTCTTATGAAAGCTTTGTCATTCCAATAGTCAGGGCTATTTTACTTATTTATTTATTTTTTTGAGAGGAAGAGTCTTTCTATGTTGCCCATGATGGCCCCAAATTCTTGAGTTCAAGCGATCCTCCTGTCTCAGTTTCCCTAGTATCTGGGACTACAAGTGTCTGGGGCTACTAGGCCTGGCCAATTTCAGGTTAAATTTTTGACTCGAAGCCATTTCAGACCACCCAGTTTGCATGAATCCAAGCTCCAAACTTCCAGGAGGGCTATTGTTCTATAGCCTCAAAAGGTCCTCAAAAGAGCTTTTATTCATTCCACACAGGCAATTTTACTTGGATTGCCTAGGGAGGTAGGTTTCTTTCTGTTTTGCCCTTACCTTGCATATATAACCCTTCTGGGTCGGTAGTAGACTCCTTGGTCTCCTTATCCTGTCCCCCCTCTGGCCTTGACCTCTGTTGTGGCAGACTCTTCGTGAACTTGCCTCAGCATCGATTTCAGCCACAGTTTGGGTGCATAGCTCCTAGCAAACTGACACTGAACCTGTACTGACAGCGCCCCCACTTCAAGTGCACACTTAAAGACCTTTGTCAAAGTCAAGGAATCTGCTTGGCTTGTACTATGGTCTGAATACAATTTGTCCTAACCAAAACTCATATTGAGGCTTAATTCCCCAATGTAAGAGAGGTCTTTAAGGTGAATTAATGCCAACACCTTTGCCACGGCTGTCTGGGATGGAATGAAGGTGAGAGCCCTGGCATTTCCCAAATTTTATGTCCATCCCATGACTTCCTTTGTAGATAGAATTCATTCATTGAATTCTATCAATGAACAGCAACTGACTGTAAAGAAAACTCCAGCTGAAATTTTATAGACCTCACAAGGTTGTTTTGAAAGTTAGAACTGGAAAATTCATATGTTATTCCATTTTCCTCTCAAAAAGTGCAGATGAGACAAGAAAGTAAATCAAGTGGACAGGTAAGGTGAGAAGTAAATTTTAAAATTAATCATACCTATGTTTAAAACAGTGACCCTGAGGGCCGTCATAATGGAGGAGGACTGCATGCTGCCACCAGAGGGCAGAAGAGGACTGAAAGAGGTGGAAGAATAAAAAAACAAACCAAACCAGATAATGTACTGGCCAGGGAATCTGATTGAAACAAGACTGACATTTATTGGGCCCTGTTACAAGTTGGTCATTGTGCTGAGCACCATCAGAAATCGTACAAAGTTCAAAAGCAGAGATCAGAGGCCAGGGCCAACAGAGGAATGGAATGAAGTAGAATTAAGAGGGCAGTTTTTCCCGCCTGCGGAAAGATAGCAGGTCTGGAAGTACAAGCACTACACTAGGCAGAAATACTATGGCTTGGACCCGTTCTTGGCCAGGGCAGCTGGGTCTTTGATGGAGAATTCAGGCAAGGAAAATTGCTAGAGTCATTTACTTTACACTGATCAGAATTTAAATAGGTCTTCTGAGCAAACAGTAAACGTTCTTGGTGAGTCTCAGATGGAGTTGGATAAATTGCATTAGAGCTCCCTCCTCAGTGGTACATCAAGGTGGCTGTGGGAGCAATTCCCCCAGATGCAGGCACTAAGGGGAGATGCTATCTACAGAGAATTGAAAAACAGCAATAAAACTGAGTAAGAGGATAAGAGACACTTGGCTTTTTATTGTCCCCCATCCCAGCAATTCTGCACAACTTGGTTGGTGATTAAAACCTCTGCTCTCTGTTGGACCCCTCCCCAACCCACCCCATCCCACTGTACCTTCCCAGTTATAATGGAGTCTGATTGAGTCTCCATCAATAAACAGCCACGGGTCCTTGTTGGTTTCTTTTTGATACTTTATTTTTCAAAATATACAATTTATTTACATCTTTATTTCACAAGTGTAGTTTTGTATATTTATTCCAAAATCTTTAAATAGCCTCGCAGTAAACAGTAGAAATCACAGGATCGGTCACACTGCTCTCTTTAGTCCATTGAGTTTTTGACAAGTTTCAAGTAGTAATGGTTTGTGGGTAAGCGAGAAACAAGGCAAAAACGATTTTTTATGTAGACGCAACACGCAGGATTAGAAAGTGCAGTCTGACCAGCTTACTTGGTCTGTGGCCAAACTAAGGACATTTATGTAATTTATAAATAAGACCCTCTCGGGAGCAGTGAGGGTTTTGGTTGCAAGAAAGAGTGGATAGGAGTCTCCTCTGTGGGGTCTGGGATGCACAGAGGGAGACAAGGCTTGAAGGTCCCTTCTTGGCTTCAGGAAGCACTGGCTAGGAGGGTCCTGAGTGGGGGCAGAGGTCCACCTGTGCCAGGTGGAGGCCAAGAGTGGTGGGGGCTGCAGTGGGGCTCCCACCAATGGAGAAGCCTCTTCGGCCTCTGTTGGGAGAAGTTTTGTAGTTCTGGAGCAGCGGAGAGATGGGTAGAGCAGCTGGTGATTCCCAAGGAAGGGGCCAGAGGTCCCACCAGCCATTCTCAGGCCATCTGCCCAGGCAGGTGAGAGCTGGCTATGTGAGGGTCAGAGTATTGCAGCTGAGTCAGCTGGCATCTATGGCTGGCAGGGACCAGAGGGGCTGCCCTGGAGTCCAGGAGGTGGCCCAGGGGAGGCATCATGCATCTCTTCTTGTGAGAGCTTTTCATTTACCTCAGAGCCACCAAGGGCAGGAGGGTCTGCATGTCCCGCCCCTGCTGTCATTGCTCCTCCCACTATGTGGGGGGCTTGCATTAAGGCACAGGTGGGGTCAGTTTCCTTCATGCCCCTAGGCACTTTGGCTGAGCCCTGAATCCCTCCTATGGGCTGAGGCTCAGCCGAGAATACCAGTGGAGAAGACAGGATGCTCTGTGAAGGAGCCAGTCCCCAAGGGCCACCTGGCCATCAAGAGGATGTGGCCCCTCCCACGATGAACCAGAAGGGCAGTCCTCCCTCAGGGTCTCCTTAGCCCCTTCCACAAAACTTCAGGACTGGACAAAGCCCGCCCTGCCCGCCCAAGCCAATTTTCTTAGCAGGATCTGGATGGAGGGGAGGGGTGGATGATAAGAGCAGGGGCCAGGGCTGGAATGAGGGCAGGATGAAGGGGCTGGGAGTTGTCACTGCATCTTCGGGTGGGGTTCCTCCGGGATGAGGGTGTGGAAAAAGTAATCCCACAACTTAGTACTGATGCCAAATCCTAGAGAGGGAGACAAATGGGGGAGAAGATGAGGTACTGGTGAAGAAACAGAGATAAATTTACTTGGGGATAGACCCAGGGTAGAGCCAGATTCCAGGGAAGACTTCAACACCTATATTGTTGGTCTCTAACTCCAACATCCTGGCAGAAGCCAAGGGCAGGGCACCTGAATTTCTAATGGAAATTCTAGTTGGAATAAGCCCAAATTCTTTATCTACCCTGAATTCCTGGGTCAGCCTGTCCCTGCCCACCTCTTCTTCCCTCTCTCTTACCTTCAGTTTTTCCCTCTTTCTTATGGAACCAAGTTCATTCCTGCCCCAGGGCTATTGCTTTTGGGATGCTTTTTATTTAGGTCTCAGCTCCAATGACATCTTCAGTAACTCCTTCTTGGACCATTTTAACTAGAGCTTTGCTGTCAAACACAGTAGCCTCTGCCCACATGTAGCTACTGAGAACTGGAGCTTCAGAGGAACTGAATTTCTGATTAAATTGAATTCAAGTTAATTTTTCTGTTTTGGCAGCACTGAGTTTTGAACTCAGGGCCTCATGCTTGCTAGATAGGCACTCTTACTGCTTGAGCCACTCTACCAGCTCCTCAAATTAATTTTAATGTAAAAACAGATACTTGATTCAATTGCTAGAAAACATTTCAGCATGTTTGGACAACTTACATTTGCAAATCTACTTCTTTTTTTTAAGAAACTACAGATTTTACAAAATATGTAGAGGTAGATCAAGTATTCCCAATGAAAATTCAGCATCCAAATTGAGATGTCAGTGCATAATACACTGTGGACTTTGAAGCTTTTGTTTGAAAGTAGAAATGTAAGATAGTTCATTAATGATATGTTTATGCTGATTACATCTAAGTGGTAATAATTTGGTTGTATTGGGTTAAATAAGTATATCATTAAAATTCCATTCATCTGTTTATTCTTAACTTTTTTTGTGTGTGGTACTAGGGCTTGAACTCAGGGCCTTCACTTTGAGCCACTCCACCAGCCCAATTTTTTGTGACAGGGTTTTTTGAGATAGAATCTCATGAACTATCTGCCCTGGCTAGCTTTGAATCATGATCCTCCTGGTCTCTGCCTTCTGAGTAGCCAGGATTATAGGCGTGAGCCACAGACACCTGGCTGTTCTTAACTTTTTAATGTAGTCACCAGAAAGTCTGAAAGCACTTATGTGGTCCACATAGTATTTTACTGGACAGTGCTGGACCCTCTTGCACCCACGAGATTCTTCAAATACAACCTTGCTTTCTTTTCTTATGGCACTTTATACCTGACATTGTCTTTACCATTTACTGATTTCTTTGTTTGCCTGTCTCTGCATAGTCACCTGCACCAGTGAATAGTGGGGACAGAGTCCTGTGTATATGTCCAGTACCCTGAAAAGAGCCAGGTTCTTGGTAGGGCTCAACAGTATTTGTCAAATAAGTCAACAAATACGGGAGGTTGGGAAGGGCTGGCCTGTCCTCACCTGATTTCTGGTGTTCAAAGTGATGCTTGACGTGGTGGGCCTTCAGGCTGTACAGGTAGGAGCCCTTGTGTGGCGAGCCGAAGTGTAGGTAGTAATGGGTCATGTCATAGAGGACATAGCCCAGGAGGCCACCAGCAAACATAGTGCCCCCCACTGCTTCAGGCAGGCTGAGTCTCAGGAGTATGTAGAAGAAGGCAACCACCAGAGAGGCTGGCACAGGAGGGAAGACCAGGCGGGAGCCGTCGAAGGGTGACTGTGGATACAGAGGGCCAAGTATCAGAGGCAGCCCTGGACCCCAGCATGCCACGCCAAAGATGATCCCCGTGGAGGATGGGGCAGAGAAGCAGACATTCCAGTGAGGGGCCAGCAACCTGTCACAGGTAGGTATGGAACCTTCGATGGCTTTGGGAAGAGCAGGTCACCAAGCCTGAAAGACCTAGAGAGAGTGTTTTGTTCCCCATTTCCAAACCAGCACAGGCCCTGGCAAACTGCCAAGTACACTTCATGTTCCATATAGAGGTCACTTGAGTCTGGAACTTGCTGTCTCCAAATGCCAGGTCTCTGGCAGAGGGGCTTTGTGGTGACTGAGGACTGATGTGGTCTCTGAGTGCAGAAAGTTGGAATTAACGTAGTTTCTGTAGTGAGATGATTCTGGAAATGAGAATGAGATGCTCTCCTCACCCTCAGTCCCCAGCTGTCACAGTGACCAGACAACTAAAGGGGCCAAGCCTGTGGCTCTTGAGCTTTAAAGGCTGAAGGTCTTGACAGAGGCTAAGATTTTAGAGACTACTTGGTGAGCAGTACCCGGAGCCCAGAGTGGCTTCTAGAAGGTTCCTGTGTCTCTAGGGATGGGAAACGTAGCAGACAGTAGGCAGTGGATCTGAAAAGGCATTGCTAGTAGGATGAGGGACATGGCCATGGATTCATTTCCTGAAGAGCAGGGACCCAGTGGGTTGTAGACTGACTTGGAGCAAGCACTGGTCAGGTCCGGGTGTAGGCCATGGAACCTGTTAGAGCATACCTGATTGGCAAGTTGACCCAGGACCAGACACCCATCCGAGATTGGCTGCTAGGTAGGGTCCCTGGAATACGGACCCACTCTAGGGAAAATAGGGAGGGGCACCTCCCTGACCATCCCGAGAACGCTCCAAGTCAGCCAATAAAGTCCTGAGTCTGGCTGAGCTCATCAGATAAACTAGCCTGAGTTGCTAAAGAGAAACCAAAGTGAAACTCAAGCTGAGTAACGGCAATGAATGGGTCTTGAACTTTAGGTTTTGTTTTTTTTTTTTCCACATCTGAATTCATGTTTTATATCATATCTGCCACATTTTCTAATTACCACCCATTGGGGAACAAAATGTGGAGAAAGGGACTCACTTTTTTTTTTTTTTTGTGGTACTGGGGCTTGAACTCAGGGTCTTCACCATGAGCCAATACCCCAACCCTTTTTATGTTAGGTATTTTTTCAAGATAGGGTCTGGCAAACTATTTGTCTGGGCTGGCTTTGAACCATGATCCTCTTGATCTCTGCCTCCTGAGTAGCTAGGATTATAGGTGTGAGCCACCGATGCCCGGCTGGGACTCACTTTTGAGGAGCTGGAAATATGGGGTTCTGTTACCCTGGGACAGGCCAAGGAGCATAGGAAGCACAGCACAGGACAAAGAAGCCACCAGGGAGAATGTAGCTTCCTTAGGGGCAGACCTGCCTTCCTGTCCCAGCTTCTGGGAAAGTCATATAGTCCTTAAAGAGCTCCAGAGTGGTGGGTGGTTGACACAGGGGTTTGAAGAATGAGGCCCAACAGTCTGGCTGTCAGGTGTGACCTTGGGCAAGTTCCTTAGTTAGGTTATTTCTCTAAGCCTCAGGTTCCTCTGTATGTCGTGGGAGTACCATAGCACTATCTTCAGGCAGAAGTTCCACAAGGGAGAGGCTTTTGTCTGTTTTGTTCACTGATGTCTAGCATAGTGCCTGGCATGTAATAGGTACCTAATGAGCATTCGTTGGATGAATGAATGAGTGAGTGAATACTCGAGTTGTGGGAGGATGCATGAGGGTAATGCAGAGTGCCTGGTATTAATAATGATGGTGGAGGTACAATGTTTGAGTGTATGTGCACGTGCAGACACACATGCCTGGCTCAGAGAAATACTAAACACCATTGGTCCCCCTTGTTCCCAACAGAGCCAGACACCCAGGAAGACCTGCCATTCCCAGGAGTTAGTTACAGCTGCAACGCTGGCTGCAGGCCCTGGGACAGGACTGGGGCCACTCACCTTGTGGTGCTGGCCGTGCATGACAAAATGCAGCGTGATGAGGTAATAGCTGTCACTGGGGGGCTTCATGTGGAACAGGAAGCGGTGGATGAGGTACTCGATGAGGCTCCAAAGGAACATCCCCAGCATGAAGAGCCCGGGGAACACGGACTTGGGCACTGCCACTGAGTACTCTGCAGGGGGCCAGAGAGAGGCATGGTCAGGGTTAATAAGCCCCAGTGCACTGGTGGCTCTGGAGGTCCCCACCTGATCACCCTGGTCAGTTGCTTTGTCCAGCAACGATGATCAGGCCACACTGAGACGCCCTGGGTCAAACTGGGAAGAAGGCAGTGAGCATCTGTACTGGGCTCATTGTGGGACCCTTTGCCAGGGCAATGGGGCTACTGGGCAGATAACAGATGTCTTTCTTACAGTGACTGTAAGAGGAGCAGCTCTGGCTGGGTGCTGGACCTTTGTCTGGAAAGGTGACCTTGCCTCAGTGGCCGCGGGAGGAGAAGGGGACAATCCCAACAAAGCTAGTAGAGCCAGTGGGTCATTGATGGATGAAATTAACAACTGGAGTCTGGGGCGGGAAGTACAAGTATCTCAGCAGACAAGACTGAAACTCAGCAAGTGAGGACCACTTGAAAGAGGTGAAAATGACCAGCCTGGGTGGAGACGGAAGCTGGGCAGATGTAGTTGTTTCAAGTGCAAGGCCCTCGAATCCAAGCATCTGATGACAGCGCAGTCCCTGCTGTTCTCATTGATTTTCTCCATTTCATTCACCCTGTGTCCTCACAGGGACTTCAAACCTTGTCCCTTCAGCTCTTGCCCAGCTTTCTCCAAGCCTATCCCTACTCCCCTAAGCATAGTCCTCTTCCCCACAACCCATTGCCTCCGCTATACTTCCTCACTCTCTTTAAATAGCAGCTTTATCAAAATATAATTCTCATACTATACAATTCACCCAAGTAAAGTGTGTAACTCAGTGGTTTTCAGTTTATTCTGAGTTGTCGATTCATGTGACCAGATGTCCCTTCTCAGGCTCCATTGTGGAAGCTCTGCCTCTGGCCCCCAGGGTTGATTGACCCTCTACCTTCTCTGCTCGATCCCTGACTACACAACATAAGCTTGTGACACCCCCAGATCTAAACCTGCAACCCAGCCCTGGATGGACATCCTCAGGTGTTAGCCCCCAGTGCTAACTCCTCCAAATGAAGCAAGTTTTTCTTCCTGCCCTGCCCTGCTCAGCCAATCTGGGATGTTCCTCTTGGGCTCCCTCCTCAGTGATGGTTACTGACTCGCACACATTACCACAGGATTCAGGCTCAACTTATCCCCTCCCCCACGGCCAGTACTCACTAAGTGCTGTCAGCAACTCTTCCTTAAGATTTCCCGGCAAAGTGAAAAAAGCCAGACACAAAAGGTCACAGAGGGCATAACTCCATTTATATATAAAGCCCGGAATGGGTAAATTGGTGGAGACAGAAAGCAGACTGGTGGTTGCTGGCGGCTGGGAGAGGGGAAGTGAGGAACAACTGCTCAATGGGCACAGGGTTTGCTTTTGGGGTGATGACAATGTTTTGGAACTAGACAGAGGTGGTGGTTGTACAACGTTGTGACTGTACCAAAGGCCGCTGAGCTAGTCACTTTAAAATAGCTTTACAGAATGCAAATATCACCTCAATTTAAACTGTTTTTTCTTTCTTTTTTTTTTGAGACATGGTCTTACTATGAAGCCCAGGCTGGCCTCAACTTGCCATCCTCCTGTTTCAGCTTTCTGAGTGCTGAGATTACAGATGTGTACCACCATGCCCAGCCTTCAATTTAAATCAATCTATCACTGTCTATCTATCTATCTATCTAGCTAGCTATCATCTATCACTTATATATCTTTATAGCTATCTTGGAAAGGGCTGGAGTACATCTTGAGTGATAGAGTACCTGCCTAGCAAGGGTAAGGCCTGGATTCAAACCCCAGTTCCTTCTTCCCCCTAGAAAAGTTGATTGTATCACTATCTTGGGTCAGTTCACTGCTCATAATCCCATTACCTTGACACCTCTTGCTTCTCATGGCAGCATCAGCCCCGCCCCCAACTCCTGCCTCCACACCCTGCTAAAATCTTCTGTGGTGCCTCATGGCCTTCAGACAAAGTCCATCCCCACACCGAGGGTTCCTCCATACATGTCCCTGCTTCTTTTCCCCATCACCCATACTGGGGCCAAACCAAACCACACCACTGTGGCTCCTTAGATTTGCCATGTTCTTTCCCTAGCTCTATAAATTTGGTCATGTTTTCTTCCCTAGCGTGTCTCGTCATCCCCCATTCCCCCTTCCTTATCCCTGGAGATTCAGCTCACGAGTGAGGCTGAGCAGATGCCTTTGCCCACACCTGGCTGGTCTGTGGCTCCTGCTACGTCCTACATCATCCTCATCCACAGTGTACTATGGGTGTCATTTTGCTCCTTCACCTCCCACTAGGTGATGAGAATTTTATGGGCAGGGTCTAGGTCTTTCTTTTATAGCTCCAGAACTTAACACATCAAATACAGAGACTTGCTGGACAATAAGAGGTAGAGGGAAACCTCTGTGACAGGCTGTGCATGGATGAGATTTCATCTGTGCCACTCCCATGGGACAAGTTCAGTTTCAGTTAAGGAGGTTCTCCTATAGGGCTGGAGCCATTTGCATGCTGTGGGCAGGCAAATGCTGATGACCATGGTGGCAGCTGAGGAAGGATGAAAGCCCAGAAAGGCAGGAGGCAGGGGTGACCTCCAGCTCTTTGACCACACTTAGGGCAAGTCCCGTTCTGAAACACGGCTCCAAACAAATCTCCATGTATCTGGGAAGCAATAAGTGATGTAGCCAGGATACGTTTGCAAAGGCTCCATCTCTCTCAAAACGGGTAAATGGATTTCTTTTTTTCTTCTTTTTTTTGGGGGTGGCACTGGGGTTTGAACTCAGGGCCTCATGCTTGCTAGGCAGGCATTGTACTGCTTGAGCCACTTTGCCAGCCCATCTTTTATGTTGGGTGTTTTCAAGATAAGGTCTCACAAACTATTCGCCTGGGCTGCCTTTGAACCTCAATCCTCCTGATTTCTGCCTCCTGAGTAGCTAGGATTGCAGTCATGAGCCACCAGCACCCAGCATAAGACAGGTTTCAAACTGGTGTGATGGGATGGAGGTATGGTTCAAGTGGCAGATTGCCTGCTTAGCAAGAGTAAAGCCCTGAGTTTAAACCCTAGTACTGCAAAAACAAAGCAAACAAGGCAAACAAAAACAAAATAAGAAACAACACCAACAAAAAATCTGGTCTGACATCTCTCATTAGTGGGGCCAGCCATGTCCACCTTTAGGACAAAGCACTTGCCTAACAGCTTTGCTGGCTTTGGCCAAAAGTGGTCATTTAGCCTTGGCTGGCCTGCTTTGTTGGCAAGAGGCCCTGCTTTCAGGAAAGCCCCGACACTGCTGGGGTTCTGCAGAGCATGCAGGGCAGGGGCTCTGGATTTGCACACCTGTGCTCTAACCTGGCTCTTCCCTACCTCTACATTATGGTTTTCTCAACAGCAAAATATCCCACCTTTCTTGAACGGCTATTGTTAGGGTGAAGGTAATACATGACCTGATTATATGATGAATGTACATGTTAGGTTATATAATAAGAGTAATGTTTTATTATATATTAATATCTCCAGCAGTCCTACTTTTACTCTCCATTTCTTTTTAAATACTCTGCTATATTGTATTTATTATTAAAAAAATTTTTTTTGATGGCACTGGGGTTTTGAACTCAGGGCCTCGCGCTTACTGAGCAAATGTGTTAACTCTTGAACTGCACACCCAGCCACTCTGCTTCTCTTGATTCTCCTTGCAGAACTCTTGAGGGTCCCTGGGTGAGGGAGGAGGAGTTACCTTGGCTCACCAGAGCTGCTGGTGCCCTCGCTTGCCACGTAGCTCTCAACACACAGGAGCTTTCCCTGGCTGTGGGCTTTGCTCTTGACCTTTGCCAGGGCTCCCACAGCACATTGGACATGGCATCGTCATTTTGAACTCTGATCAGTAGAGGTTCAGTTTGGCCTCATGTTAACATGCTCCCAGGGAGCCTAACAGTCCTGATGAATTCTGGAGAGCCTTCCGAATCTGCATCTTCATACATGTGTCTAGAAATTTCAACCTTGAAATGGTGTCTTCCTTCAGCTTGTACTACTTCTTGGCACCCCAATTCTTCTGCATTTATATTCTAGGATGTCCTGTGTCTGGCAGCTGCACTGAGACCCCATTGAGCGTCTCCTTGCCTTGCTTTGAGGACTTTTATTTGCTCTGCCTGTGGCTTGTGCCTGGCAAGATGGGCTGGGGGATGAGAGAGGCATGTGGCATATCTCATACCACTGCTGCTGGCATCTCAGTCACGAACTTACTAGCCCTGGATCCACACTGAACCTTTATTACGCAAGCACACTTCAGCTGTCTGCAGAGGCCTGAGGTGCTGCAGAGCCCTCAAATCACCATCTCTGCTATGCAGAACAGCCCCCTCCTATAGGTCAAGCCTCCACCCGCCTCCTCACCCCAGCATCACCCTGTCTGCCCATCCGGTTGGAGCTGGTACTGAGTGGCATCTCTGGAGGAATCCAGCAGAGGGCCCTGGGCCAAAGCTTCAGCGTCCCCTTCCCCCTCCGACTGCCATCCCTGGAGGCTCTGCCACTGTTGGTGATTGTTAGGGGAGCGCTGGGTGGACAGTGGGCGATTCAGCGAGCAGGCCTCTGAGCAACAAGCTCTGTGCTGTGGCTGAGCTATTCAGCGTGGGTAGAAAAGGGTAACCTTGGCTCTCAGGGCACACATGGTAACACTCAGTGATCAGGAGCAGCTCCCTGCTGGGCTTGGGGGGACCTCCTGTAGCTTGCTCATCCCTGTCCCATCCTAGATAAGGATACACTGAGGCTCTCAATACTACAGGAGGCTCTCAACTTGCTGATCCTGGGGAGGTGGCAGAAGAAAAACTTTGGAGCACAGGGAAAGGAGTTTGTGGCTGGCACAGCAAGTCAGGAATATGAACTGTGATCAGGACAGGAAGTCTACCTGTGAGACATGTTATTCCAGCACCTCCCTGAGATGCCAGACAGACAACCAGGACAGGTGGTATGTACCCAGAGGCTCAGGGTAAGCAGGGAACTTGTGAGGCTGGAGTGGCCACCCTGAGAGACTTCGTTCTATAGGCTCTTTGGACAATGCTCCATGTCAACATCTCTTCCTGTCCCATGACTACAAGCTGAGGGGAGGGTGTCTCCATATCCTAGGCTCTGTGACCCTGACATTCATGAGACTTCATTTCCTCAATTCAGTTTTTTTGTTTGTTTGTTTGTCTTTTGGGGCAGGGTCTCACTATGTAGCCCAGGCTGGTTTTGAATTTTTCTCCTGTGTGTGCTTCCCAAGTGCTGGGATTACAGGTATGTGCCACCACATCCAGCCTACTCAACTCAATTTTTAACTAATTTTTGAGATTGAAAGACAAAATTGTATGTGTACTTTTTTTTTTTTAGTACCAAGTGGTGTTTTGAAGATGTAGACATGGTAGAAAGACTGTACTCCCTCGAACAGGAAGGAGATGATGACAGAGCTTTTCCCATGGGGTTGTGGGGAGGCTTCCATGAGAATCCCTGGGAAGCACACGCCAGCTGTGTGCTAAGGGCTCAGTGAGGGGAGCAGGTATTGTTCCCAGCTGGGGTTCTGCTGTATGACCCTTTGCTTGATACCCACTGGGATGCTCCCAAATCTTTCTCTCCCAGCTTCTCTGCCAATTTGTGATACGACCACAGAGCAATCTGAGTGCAGCGCTCAGCTGTGCCACCTCAAGTAGCAATTTCATTTAGTTTCCTGACAAAGAATTCTAGGCTATATACTTTTTTTCTTTTTGGTGGGAGTGGGGTTTGAACTCAGGGCTTTGAACTTGCAAACCAGGCACTCTACCGCTTAAGCCACATTTCCAGACCATTTGGCTTTGGTTATTTTAGAGATGGGGTCTTGAGAACTATTTGCCCAGGATGGCCTTGAACCACAATCCTCCCCATCTCAGCCTCTCAAGTAGCTAGAATTAGAGGCGTGAGCCACTGGCGCCCAGTGATAATACACTTCTTGTTATTAGGCTCAATGAGAACCACTTCCCTGCCTTTTTATTGCTGTGCCATCTCATCAAATGACTTTGTTTTATTTCTGTTCATATGTTGCTCATTTTTGTATCCATTTTGGGGACAAGGGGACTAACAAAATTTCTTTGTAGATAGGCCCCACTTAGAAGCATTTGTGATGTGGTTTGGGGTTCTGTGCTCTTGGAAACTCAGAAGCATGGAGAATGCAGGTCTCCTGCCTTTAGGATCAATGGGAGAAAGTCAGGAAGGAACCTGTTGTTACCTGTTGTGAAGGAAGCGAAGAGCCTGACATTGCCCTGGGCAAGGGTTCGGTAGTAGGACCAGCTGAGGTACAACATCAGAGGCACCCAGACGATGGGAACGCTGTACCTGCAACAGGACCATTAGGGTGAGAGAGATACATTCATTTTGTGTGTGTGTGTGGGGGGGTGTTGACATCTTCCCTAGAGACACACACCAAAGCACATGCAGAAAATATGTGGAGACCTGGGGTCAAAGGGCCACTGGTGTAGGGAGCAGGGGAAGGAGAAAGAGGCTGTGAGTCCATCTCCCACTGTCTCAGGGATGAGTCATTGGCAGAAGAGAACAGGGTCCCCATGGCTACAGATTCTGTGCAGCTGGGTAGACACTGACCCCTTGTGGCAGAGGAGTTAATTGCAGGCAAAATTAGAGGCTGCTGACCCCATTTAGGAGTCTAGAATAGACCAGGGGCCCCACTCAGTGGACAGGATCGTGATCAGGAACAGTTTATACCTATGGCATGTCCCACCTTCCCAAAGAGCTTAGTGCATATCCCTGCCTTCTAGGGAAGGACCCAGTGACGCCTTCTCCTTTTATATTTGACTGGCATCATCAAGATAGAGGGATAGCTCACCACACAGTCTTGGAGAGGGCCTCAATGAGGTCTGAGTGGAAGAGGCGGATGGGCCTGGCCACTGGCTGGTGCACCCACTCATCGTACTTCTCTCCCAAGTGGCCCACCTGCCACAGAAGAGGCTTCTTCCAGTCCACCAGGTCCTGCAAGAGACAACGTGGACCCTAGATGTTCATGCCTTTCCCGTTTCATTCTCCAATTTCCTGGTTATAGCATTCCATTCTCCAGCCCCGCCTAAGCTCATATGGTCTATATGGGGTCATCTGCCCTCCTGTTTTAGGGGTTCAGAACTGATCACATAGCTCTTGACTACAGCAATGAGATCTAGAGTAGGCCCATGACCAAAGCTGGGGCAATGATCCAGGAGACATCCTCTTTTCCTTCTGGAATTGCTAACTTGACAGAATGTGAGCCTGGAATTGCTAGCAAAGCCTGCTTGAGGGCTCAGCCAGCACAGAGGACAAGCCAAAGCAAGAGCTAGAGAGAGAGAATCCTGGTGATATTTAAGCACCCAGATTCATCCACATGAAAAGCTTGTAGTCTTGCTCTGATCTCTCTCTCTCTCTTTTTTGTGGTACATGTGACTTTGGGTTTGAATTCAGAGTCTAGACCTTGAGCCTCTCCACCAGCAACTCCCCCTCTCTTTCTGTGATGGGTTTTTTTCGAGATAGGATCTTGCAAACTATTTGCTTTGGCTGGCTTCAAACTTCAATCCTCCTGATCTCTTCTTCTTGAGTAGCTAGGATTATAAGTGTGAGCCATCAGCACCCAGTCTTCTAATCTCTTTAAGTATGGGAGCCAATACATTTCTGTATTAGAAATGTAGTAGGCCCTTTCCCCTGCACCATGGACGTTCTTCTTGGTGTTCCCCTGAGTCATTCACTCATTCATTCATTCAACAATTTGCTTAACATTCCATATATGTGTGTGTGAGTAGGCTCATGGGTGCTGGAAAGAATCAACAGGAACGTAAGAAGCTATCTTTGCTTCATAATAGCTTAGTATTACATCAGAGTACAGATTCTGGAGTCAGTCTTGGGTAAAATTCTGGCTCTATCACTCACTGTGTGACTTTGGGAAAATCACTTGACCTCTCTGAGCCTCTCAGTTTCCCCAGCTATGAAATGGAAGAAATATTAACAGTATTCACATTAAGTGTTCAGCAGGATGAGGGATGCTGAACGAGACAATTTAGTGGTGTTACAAGGGAGGCTGAGATTCAGAAGCTGGATGAATGGTATAAATGCCCAGGTTCAGGGTAGGTGAGGAGGGCTTTGCAGATGACCTGGGGCTTGTTCATACAATGGGGAGAGAGGAAGTGTGGGAGGCAGTGTGGGTCTAGCTGTAGGGTTGAGAGGGATTGTGATCCGTTTGATGTCTTGACACTACTCTGGATAGCAGGAGGAAATTTGCCTGGAACAACCCTGTTGCAGGCTCTGGACTTGGTGCTTTATCTGGCAGGCCAGTTACCCCCAATACTGGCATGTATGCACACCCTGGTACTCACAGACCCATTCCCAGAGAAAATGCTAGAGACCCTAATTCTATGTGGGACACATTTCTCATTTTTAAACCGTATATGAATGTGTTCTAACACACAGAATATAAGCGTACATTAGCATATGTAAATAATGTAGAGATTATTAAAATGGACATGTAGTGGAAATGTGCTCAAAAAGTTTTACCCGTAGGAAAATCAAGATCAAGATCTTGATTTCCTCCAACCAAGAAAGTTTGGAGGAAATACCTCAAGGCAATGGGAAATCCTTGAAGATTTCCAATGACTCAGGGTAGTGAAGGAGATTAATTTGAATCCCAAACAGTAAAGAGCAATGAAGTTGGAGTCAGGGGAAATCTTCAAAGCCTGGCTCTGAGATCTTGACTGTGAGATCTTGAGCAAGTGTCTTTCCCTCTGTTGTTTGTGAAGCTGGTGGCCCAGCCCACCACCCATAATTGGAGTGAGGATGAGGCATGACACACAGTAGGTGCCACTGCAGGTGGGAGAGGTGGCAGTGACCGGCCAGGGAAGGAGAGGATCCAGAGCTGTATATGAAGGAAGAGCATGAAAGCCTGGGAGAGAGAGCCCATCACGATTCCAGAAACCTGCCTTCTCGTCAAAGCTGACTGGCCTTCATGTGCTCCCAGCCTCTCTGGAGGTGACACTAGTGTCACTGTTACAGCTTTGGAGCAGGGGTGTGGGAGTCCCAGAGCAGGAAGGCAAGGCCCCTGTGCATTCTTCCTGTGTCTGTGACAAGAGCAAGAGACCCAAAGAAGGTTGTGGCTCCTGCCATGAGCACATGGCAAGTCCCAGGTGCTGGCTGCCTGCCTATAGTTAGGGGTTACTTCCTACTTCTCAGGTTGAGAGTTGAACCCAGGTTAACCAGAGCCATCTCACCACACCACCAGCCAAAGAAGCAAGCAACCCCACCTGACTCCAGTCTCCTTGACCTCATCCTTTGGATCTAGGATCAATTGGGTTGTTGGATTTATGCTGTCTCATTCCTTCCATTTGTCCACCAAAGTTTCTAAATACGAATTCATGCTTGCCCTACTCCACCACCACCACCAGGAAAAAGAACTGGAGGAACCAGCTAGTAGCCTTGTGTTTACACCTTATCTTGCAGTAGCCTGTGGAGCCTCACCTCAGAAGGAGCTGGGTCAGGGTCACATGAGAGCTTGAAGCCTTGTCCCAACTGCACCAATACTGGGAGATAACACAGTGTATTACGTGCCAAGCATGACTCTGAATACTTTATAGGGCTAATATCATTCCCCAACTGGGAAGGTATTATAATTACTGCCATTTATGGATGGGGAAACTAAGGCTAGTAACTGGCCAAGGTTGCCCAGTTATGTCTTCTTGATGAACTGGTAAAAGGAGAAATATCCATCTTGGTCTCTTTAATACTCCTTGTCCTGAAGTCTGCTTTGATATTCAATAGAACCACACTGGCTCTACAAACTAGTGTTTATATAGTCTATCTTTTTCTATTTTTATTTTATTTTATTTTTTTGCTGTACTGGGGCTTGAACATAGGGCTTCACACTTCTAGGCAGGCTCTCTACCACTTGAGCCACACTCGAGAACATTTTCAGAACTCTTTTTCTTTTAACCTGTGTATGTCTTCACATTTAAACTGCATTTCTTGCAGACAGCATAGAGTTGGATCTTGCTTTTCTAGCTAGTCAGACAATCTCTGCCTTTTAATTTGAGTGTCTAATCTATTTACATTTAGTGTTGGAACTGGTCTACTTTCTTGCTGTTTTCTGTCTCCTCTGTTCTTCCATTCTTGTCTTGTTGCATTAATTATTTTAAAGCATTCTGGTATTATCTCCTCTATTGTTTTTTAGCTATATCTTTTTTGGATTCCTGCCTCCCCTAAGGATAGTAATATGCATCCTTAGCTTATTACCATCTGTCTCAAGTGAAGCCCCTGTGTTTTACTATGTTCCACTTTTGCATATTATATGACATCCCCTATGCCTGTATACTTTAATTTGAATTCAGATAACTTAGCATTTCTAACTATAACTCGGTTGTCGCAGGCACCCTTCCCCCAAACACCTAGCAGTAGTTTATGCAGTTTTTTAGATATTAATCCATTTGTCCCTATTTTGTAAAGCAAGCCGAAAACAGTAGAGTATTTGTAGTTTAATTCAGCTGAGAAACAGGAAGAAATGTCTAGAAGAGCAGCAAGCAGGAACTTTATCCTGAATCTCATATCCTACTGTGATGGAACCAGACCCAAAGGATAGAGCAGGTACAGGAGGCTGGACTAAATTGCTGAAGAGGTGTTTGCAGGTGTTCTGTTGTTTGATGCCCTTTTGACCATTTGACCTTTGGATATGGTTTCAGTTATTCCCTTGGTAGATCAGCAGGTATTGGCCATCTGTATACATGGCAGACTTACTGACTAGAGTCAGTTCCAAGATGCCTGTGGCCTGGGTCTATCCTACATAGCATCTCTCTGAGGTAACCCTCTTGGTGCCCAGGGAGGGTTACTTTACTCTGGGTGCTAAAGGACCACCCTGGAGGAATCCCAAGAAGGCCTTGCTCTGCCCCCTGCAAACATCCCCCTCAGTCATCAAACACCTATAATGATAATGCCAGGGCCTCAGTCCTGCCATTGCAGAGGTAGTAAAACGAGACATCTATACAGGTATAGAAATCCAGGCCCACTGACTTGTTCATTTTAGGGATAAAGAAATTGAAGCCCAAGAGATTGATTCTTGAGAAGGGGTTGGTTGGTACTAGAGTGGAATCCCCCTTCTTCACTTCCTCCAGTTTGTAACACCCAAGAGCTGGCACATTCACCTGAGATGCTTGAGTTGGCTTGACTGGATGTGCACTCAGAGGGTGCCATTCCTCAGCTCTCTTTCTGTCCTGGTCACTAAAGGAGAGTCTCAGCTGGGTGCTAACAGGTACAATGCTTCTCACTTGCTAGTCATTTCCAACATGGCAACTGGCAGGGAGCTGGTTTTCAGAAGGGATAATGGCAGAAGCTGACAGCCTGGGTGAGATCCAATGAGGTGGGAAGAAACTTGTGATAAATTTCACTCCTACTGTACCCGGCTGAGGACCCCTTGGTTCCCTGCTCTCACATACAAATGGACACTGGTCCCAGTCCTTTCCACCCTGTGGGGCCTAAGGCTTGGGGGGAGTGCACAGGGAAGGCATTGGCAAAGGCCTGCAACCTCTGTAGGAGGCTGGGTGGGAGAAAAGGAAGGGAGGACAAGGCACATATCACCCCTCAGGCTCCCAGGCATCAGGGGGCTTTCGTGACTATCCTCCAAATAGCAGGTCCTCCTTTTTCAGCTGTGTGGGACCATGATGCCCAGAGAGGGCAAGTACAGCACTCAGAGTCACCCAATTAGAGCAGGGGTTAAGGGTGGGAACATGGCTAGAAACTGCTCTGGAGAGGGCAGCTTGTTGAGGTTGGGAGCTCCTTTAGTGATTCACAGACCTGAGCAACAGGAAACAGATGCAAGTCCGGGTGTGTTTAGCCCAAACACCCTTGTGCATCCGATGCTTCTCCCCCATCCAGCTCTGCCCCAGCCCCTCAGGGAAGGGGGAGGTATCTGGGCTATGCTAGGAATGTGGCTGGCAGCAGTACCCAGCAGAGTAAAGGGCAGGGTGGGTGGAAGGCCTGCTGCCAGGGTGGGGAGGGGACCATCTTAGTTTTCCCTCCCACTCCCCGGACCCCCTTTCTTCTGGGCAGCACAGGGACCAGACAATACAGGATAGTTCCTTGGGGCAGCCTAGGAGTAAGTACTCAGAATCTGTTCCCCCACCCCAAGCACAGGGAGAGGAAGCAACTACTCTTGCCAGCAACTCCTCCCACCACCATGGCCGTGAGCTAAAGCAATTGTTTAAGCAAATGTCCACCCAAAGCCCAGAGCATCCCTTCACGGCAGCCCTGAGCCAGAGAGGTGGAGGATGGGGAGAGGAGCCAGGACAAGAAGCTCCCCAGGAATCCTGGCTACATTTTCTGAACCCTTGTCATGTTCAGCCTGGGCTAACACCTTGTGTCCATTTTCCTTCATATGCCTTAACTTTGAGAAATGAGGATGGGACAACTTCACTTTCTAGATGAAAAGACTGAGGGTCAGCTGCTCAGCCAAAGATGTGGCAGGGCCTGAACCTGGGCATCTGGCTTACAGTTCTTACTACCAGGGCCTTCCATTGAATCAAGGCTGTGAATTCCTCACCATGGAGCCTATGGGGGACCCTGCGGTAGTGTCTAGTGTAGTGGTCAGGACAGGAAGTGAGGTGGGACTCTTGGTGGTCTTGTAGGGGTTGTCACAGGCCTGTCCTACACAATATAATTGGGATAAGTTCAAGTCCACAGAGGCAGGTCCTCCTGCAGTGCCCCATGGCCTGCCCCTCTCTCTGGGGACATGGTGGCTGAGGAGGTGGCAGAGTGCCCAGAGGTGAGTCAAGCCAGCACCCACAGCCTTGGCTTCATCTTTCCTTTTCCAGAAGCAGGCTTGCCACGAGAGTCTCTGTTCTGATCTAAGTGCAATTTTCCCGATCCTCAGTGACTTGTCTGAGGGCCCCCAATTGCCCAACATCAACACCTTGGCCAGGCCCCGGGGGCCCTTGGAGCAGCCTCTGATGCCAAGGGCTGCATGTGAACTGTTGGGGGCAGGACAGGGAGTTTGGGAAGTGAACCACTGCATTCTGTTTGATGATTCTTCCCTTAAAGGAAGAGGGTGGGCCATGCCACTGACAGCCTTTCCAAGGTAGAATAAAACTGGTTATTGCTGGAATCTGGCTTTGCCTGAGGCAGAATGAGGATGAGGAAGTAGCTGGCTTTGCAGACACCTCCAGCACCTGCTGGAACCTTCCCCACCTCACCCCCTGTTACAGGCCTCAGGGTCTGGCTCTGAGCCAATTGTCAGTGTAAAAATATTGCAGGACACATGGAGGGGACAGGTAAGCCAGTTGTGCTGCTAACCTGCTTACCAAGTGACTTTGGCAGGAGACGTCAGATCTAACTCACTGCTATAATTATAATTAATTATAATCCTGTCTCCTGGCAAAATCAGATAACAGACAACGCATTTAGAATGCTTGGTTCTAGCCAGGTGCTGGAGGCTCATGCCTGTAACCCTAGGGATTCAGAAGGCAGAGATCAGGAGGATCATAGTTTGAAGCCAGCCCAGGCAAGTAAGTTTGAGAGACCCTATCTTGAAAACACCTATCACAAAAAGGGCCAGTGGAGTGGCTCAAGGTGTAGGTCCTGAGTTCAAGCCCTGGTACTCTTAAGAAAACAATGAAAGAAGTGTTAATTTGGTGATAACTATGTTGCCAGGGGCATCTGGACAGGGAGGCTGGAGCCCAAGGTAGTGGTCAAAAGACGCAGCAGGGCTAAGGGGGCAGGTGTGCTCAGAAGCCAAGAGCAGTGGGTAACTGGTCACTGGACCAGGGCAGCCCTCGGCCAGTTGGGTTCCAGAATACGAAGAGGTTTGTGTAAGGTAAGGAGGGCAACCTGTACGCAGAGCAGGGCATCAGGGTTTGCTTCTTGCTCTCTCTGCTGTCTTTTCAGATCCGTCTACCTGCAGTCCAGTTTTATCTCTTACCTTTTCTGGTGAGGCCCACTCTGTCCCCTAGCTTCTACAGCTAGGAAGGCTGGGCTCTGGCAGCTCAAGGTTCCCTCCCACAGCACAAAGGGCTAACTGTGCAGTCCCTCTGCTCCAGGGCTGGGGGACCCTCTGTGGAGACCAGGCTGTGGCCTTCTTGGTCTCCTTCCAAGGCTCCACAAGGCCTGGACCCAGCAGACTGGCTCACATGCCCTTGCTGGTCAGAAACAGAAGCAGCGCTTTCAGTGTCCTGGCCTCTGTGTCCTCCCAAGGGCTGTGACTTGAGTGTGTGGGAGGAGACAGGAGAGGGGCTCTTTTTTGGAAAGTTAAGAAGAAAAGAGTAAAGCCCTGTTCACCCTATGTGGGAAGCTCGGCTCTGTCTGGCTCTCCTCAGGGAGCTGAGGGGGGCACCATGTAGACCCAGGTGTCCCTGCCAGAGTGGCCTGCACTCCTTCTCCAGGGTCAGTGCTTGCCCCTCTCTCTTGGCCCAGGTTCGCAGGAGGAACAGAGAGAAAGTGTGTCAAGGAGAATGAAAGAGAGTCAGGAAGGTGAGTCAGGGTTGAGTTGCCTGGGGTGCTGGCCAGGAACCAGACTTAGGGAAGCAACACCCTGTCTTCCCTTCTAGTGAGGTCTTCCTCTGAGCACAGGGGGGCTGGAATGAGCTCCTCGCCCGTTGCCTCATGCAGGCACAGGAGAGAGGGGGTCAGTCTTGAGTCACAGCTTGGGGAGACTATGGGAGGAACCCTTCCCAGAGTAGGCTGGTAGTGGGGGCTCTGCTGTCCCTAGCCAGGCTGGCCCACAGCCCCTTCCCTCCAGTTTGGTTCTTTCCCATCATTTCACCCCCATGGCTGCCACATTGATCCAGCCCTGATCAGCTCTCTCTTTACAGTATTTTCTTTCTAATGTTCAAGCTCTGAGACTAGCCCACTGGGGCTGGCCCCAGAGACTCCTCTCTGTAGTTCCTTCCAGCACCTTTCATTGGCCACCCACAGCCCTGAGTCAGGACACACTGTGCCTCCTTCCCTGGTTCTGTGCTCACTCCCCAGACCCTCCTCCTCTCCCTCCAAAGCCCCTCCCATTCCAAGGCAAGGTTCTAACTCTACCAGCTCCCCAGGGCCTTGACCCACTCAAGCTGGCTGGCTCTACTGTTGTTCTGCCCCCACATAGACTAAGCCCAAGTCCACCAAAGTTGCCAGAGAAGCCTGCTATTTAAACTAAGACCCTCATTCTCTTGGTCCCTGGCCTGGGCACCATCTACGTCCCACACTGGAGATTGGCAGTTGTGGCCATGCCAGGAATAGAGGCCTAAAACTCCAGCAAGCCTAAGTGGCCTGGGCAAATCTTTCCCCTCACTAACCTCCTATTTTCCTCTTGGTCACACACCTCTCTGGTGGGATTGGGGCATAAATGGCCTTCCAGTCTTTAGAGCTGCATATTTGGGGGTGTCTTTGCCATAGGCTAGGGGCCCTTTCTCTGAGGCAGTGGCAATCTCACTTGACAGGAGCCATCTCTGAGTCCTGGGTTCAAGGACTTGGGAGCCCCATTGGCCTGCACCCCCCATCTCGTCTTCCTGCCTGTGATCCTTGGCATGTTTCCCACATCTCCTCATGTTATCAGAACTGTTTGGGGAGAGGGGGGACCAGGACCAAGGGGGCAACTGTCCTGTTTGTTTCTGTGCTTCAGTGTAGGCAGAGGACACACAGGTTGGGCACTTTTGGACGTGACGCTTGTGTTTATTTCAAGAGGAAATGTCTCTTCAAGAGGTAACATGATTTGGGGACAATCCTGTGGCCTAAGCTGGAGGGAAACCAGTCTGGCTTCCTCCAGATCCCCCAGGCAAGGCTGCTTCTCCCCATCCGCCATGGAGAGCCCCTATTTTCAACTGGGAGGGCTCAGCAACCCCAGGGCTCACCTCACAATGGAGTCTGCTTGACCTCTACACACCGAGAGACGTTTGAATAAGGCTCTGCAGACATGGAGGCCATTCAGCTCCATTTCTCACCTGACATCTGCAGGCTCCCCTGCCTGGTATCCACCAGTGACTCTTCTGAGAGGTCACAAATGCCAGGAGCACCTGTCAACTCGGGCATGCCCAGATCTGCTAACTCTGTCATTGTCCCCTTCCCAGCTTCAGGGGTCCTGATGAGAGAGCCCTTCCTCTCCAGGGCTGTTCAAGGCTGGCTCCATGCAGAGGCTTCATGTGCCATTTATCTCACTGTCGAGACAGCCCCATGCCTGCATCTGGGTTTGCTGCCCAAGGTCACACTTGAACTGTGGTCACCTGTGTCCCTTCCTCATCTTCCCCTGGGTGCACATCGTGCATACCACAGCCTTTGGCTCCATACATGCTTCCTTACCTTCTGCCTACCCCCATCCCACCTCACCATAACCTTGATCATCACTTCACTCTGTCCAGTGTCAGCTACCTTGTCCCAATCCACTGCTTTGAACCGCCGTTCCATGGCAGGGTCCGTCTTCTGAGTTTCCGCAGAGGCTACAACCCCATTCTCTATGGAGCCCTGGAGAGAGACGATAGCAGGGAGTTATTTACAGTGGATGAGGGACAGAATGGAGCCTGGAGCCCAGAGCCCTGAACTGTCCCATAGCGAGGCAGCCAGGAATGGGGAGCACCCCACAGGTGGGGGCCAGTAGGTAGAAATCAAGGACACTGGGTACTTTCGGAAACAGAGAGACACTGGTGTGGGTGTCATTATTCTTTGTACTTTTCTTTCTCTCTTCAAAAAATCACCTCTGCAAAAACAAAAGATGCAGAAAGATCTGGGAGACAAAGCAAGCTGGACAAGAGACCGTGGGGAAGCGAGAGTGGTTAGTGGGAAGGGGCTTCTTGCCAATCCTGGCAGGTGTCAGACAAAGTAAGTCACACTGGCACCAGGGGCACCCGGTGGGGCTCACCTTGTCACACCCAGTGACTCTCCCGCCTCCCTCCCTCTGTGGTTATTCATTAGATTCTGTGGGTCACAGGCTGGGACATCTAGGTCCATGTGCCCACAGGAAAGAAAGGCAGGAGGGAGCCAGGGATACTGTCCCTCCAGTCACCTCAGGGTGGGTTAGCAGCCACACACAGGGCATATTGGCAGAGGCGTGTCCAAGTGAGTTCAAGGTTAAATGGAACTAGCAAAGAGGTACAGTCAAAAGGAAACAGTGAAATCACACAGCCCAGCTGGCTCTGCCATCATGTGGGGTGAGGACAGAGAGCAGGCTGGTACCTAAGTAAAACCTATGCTTCCCTAGAGGAGGGGCGGGGACAGCACTTGCCCATGGGGCCTTCCCTGTGAGTCCCTGTGACCACAGGAAACCAGGAGTTGGTGGCCCTTGGAAGCTGGGTATTGGTCAGAGGCTGAGGATGTTTGAGCAGCCAGTTTTGTGCTAGTGTTTGAACTCAGGGCCCACACCTTGAGCCACTCCACTAGCCCTATTTTTGTGCTAGATATTTTTCAAGATAGGGTATCATAATCTGCTTATCTGGGCTGGCCTCGAACCTCAATCCTCCTGATCTCTGCCACCTGAGTAGTAGGATTACAGGAGTGACCCACTGGCACCAACCTCTTTTTTTTTTTTAATTTAAATTAAGATAAATTTATTTAATTTAAATGATCCATTCTTCTTTTGTCTGGTTTTGCTTTTTTTCTGGTGGTGTGGTTTGAACTCAGAGTCACACACTTGCTAGGCAGATGCCATACCACTTGAGCCACTCTACAGCTAAATGACATTTTTTAGAATCAAATTATGTCCTCTAAGTAAATATCTTTTTAAAAGACAGTAGGCAGTAGGCAGTGCAGTTGGGGTTTCTATTGCCATAATTCTTATATTTTTATTTCCAAATGAATCCAAGAGAACCTGATGGTGACAGTAACCATGCTGGCATTTTCTGGGAAAACCCATATGTAACCCCAAAAAAGTGGACTTTTGTGGTCCTGCCTTTTTCTGTGCACCTCAGCATATTTAGTCTGTTTCATCAAGCTAACAACTGAACTTTTGTTATTATTATTACTATTAACATTATCCTCATTATTTTGGTTTTTTAAGAGAGGGTCTTGCTTTGTTCCTCCTTCAGCCTCCTGAGTGCTAGGAGTACAGGCATGCACCACTACACCCAGCTTTATAACTGAATTTTAAAATTTATTTCTATTTATTTATTATTTATTTTTGAGACACAGTCTTGCTGTGTAGCTCTGGCTAGCTTCAAATTCCTTACGTCTGGCCTCAAACTTGTTATCCTCCCGCCTTGGCCTCCTGAGTGCTAGGATTATAGGCATGTATCACGATGCCCAGCCCTGAATTTTTTAAAAAAGCATCTCTTGCTGTCTTTTGGACCAGGAAGAAGGATTTCACAGCACATTATACACAGAAGCTCCCTAAACATTCCATGTAAGTAGCTTTCCTCTCGCCATGTCAGTAGCTCAGTTATCATGTTTCTTACAATTCTGTTTTAACCTCAAAATATCCTAGAATGATCCCTTACCACTGTACTATTGACCCTTCTGCCTTCGTGGATAGTCATTTTCTCTTGGTCACCCCAAGTCCTTTCTTGGGGTGATCTACCCCTCGTTGGCATCTCAGCTCTACTCACTGCAACACTATCTTCCTGTCTCAACAAGACAAAAGGAAGGTCTTAGCCAGGAAGGAGTTATCACATATATTATTTATCATTTTTGTCCTGCCACATGGTTCAGACACCTCAGGGGAGCAGATACAGATCTGATTTGGCCCCAGTGGCCTGATACCACTGATACTGAAGAGAGGGCTCCCCTGCAGTTGCCTCTTAGCACTGGGTTGGAAGTTCTCCTCTATTCAACTGTTTGCAGTCCTTACTGTCCCCCTTAGGCTCAGCTGGCCACCTCCAGTTTCTGGGAATCGTTCCTGGTTCTTCCCCTCTGGAGCTACACAACTCCCTTCTCTCTCATCTGACAGATCTCTAAACATTTGAAGAGAGCTAGTGTTCACACTCCCTGCCACCTGCTTTCCATCAGGACAGTACTGGGACACAGTGGGTTCTCTAAGCATGACGACATGTCCACACTCCTCTCCCAAGGCAGATGTGATGGACTCCGGGTAGAACCCAGCACAGATGGCATCTCCCTTTCTTGCAACATATTTCTGACCATGGGAACTGAGTCAACAGGGGGACTTTGGCCACCACCCTGTCATCTCTTTCCTGGCTTATGGGACCCTGAAGTTTTTTGAAATGGACCGTTGCTACCGGTATGGGGTGGAGGGCACACGTGGTCTAGGAGGTGAGCTGGAGCCACGGCCAGGAGGGAAGCAGGGGACAGTGGGAAACAGAAAGCCTGAGGAATGAGGTCACGAGGGAGAGTCTGCAGGGACAGGACCTTGGCTCCGGCTCCTGTATCAGCCTCCCCTCGGGGACTGTTGGTCTGGGTAAAGTACCATCATGATGCTTTCCTCTTCCCCACTTCTTCCTTCCCACGGGGAGCTCAGACACATTGCTGCTGTCATGCACTCATCATCAACATCATTATTTTTGCTGGGACTAGGCTTTGAACTCAGGGCTTTGCACTTGCAAACAGGTGCTCTACTGCTTGAGCCATACCTCTGGTCCATTTTGCTCTAGTTATTTTGGAGATGGGGGGGGTCTCAAGAACTATTTGCCCAGGCTGGCCTCACACTGTGATCCTCCCAGCCTCAGCCTCCCAAGTAGCTGGGATTACAGGTGTGGGCCACCATGCCCAGGTTCATACCCTTATAACTGACATGCATCTCAGCCCCGATGTGCCCAAAGCCTCAGCTCAGAAGCCTGGTGAAGGCCCCCTCTCTGATCCTGGCTTGCTGCTTGCTCCAGAAGAATGATTCCATATCCATGACTTCCCTATGTTCAAAATCTTTTCCCCCATTCCAAACACCTCTTCTGGAGTTAACCCTAGGTCTCCTCTTGAGCCAGAGGGATGATGTACCATTCTGAACATGTCTCACACTTGCCCTCTCCATTCTCACTCTGTCCAGGGTGAGAACAGAGGTTGGTATTTCAGGAAGGCTGACTTTAATCTTCCCAACAAAATACTGTGTGAAAAACATGCAACAAAATTCCTGTTTGACAGAGGAGGGGACCTAAGCACCGTGCAGTCCCACAAGTAGTGAGGGGTGGAGCAAGCAATGGGACTCCAGGATATTCTCTTTCCTTCCCTAGCCATCCTAGCCAGAGAGGATCTCTTTGCTTTCCAACTTAAAGGAAAAAAATCCTAAATCACATCTCTATGTTTTAGAATAATAAAGAGCACCCATTTAACTCAACCAAAAACCACTGTCAAAGGATGAGTGTGTACACCCCCAACTCAGAAAGTATAAAGGCCACACAGATAAGAATCACCATTTTGTGTCCTTACTCCCATTTCCTGCATGGGGAGCAGGAATGTTCCTCCCTACCTTATCCTGTGATGTTAAAATAAATCCTTGGTAAAACTTCAAAAAAAAGATCACCCCTTCCATGTGTGCAAACACTCATGGCCTGGGTTGGTACTCATAACTTCTGGCCTCTGTTTTCGGATGTTTTCTGTTTGTCCAATGGCATTATAGAGTCCAGAACCCCTGGGACCTGTGGATTGCTGCTTCCTGGTTCTCTGACTGACACACAGGCTCTTGCAAATCCTAGAGGCTGCATCCTGCTGTAATGCTGGGTCTTTGCAAAGCAGCTGAGACTCCTACCTTTGGGCCCTGCACACACAGAGCATATGCTCTTGGAAATGTAAAATAAATGAAGCCACACATTCTCTTAGCACTGCCACATAGGGAAATAGCTGCCTCAGAGGGCGGCATACAGTGAGTCTGCCATCCTGGAACACCTTCTGCATTGGACAGGGCAGTACCCACACACCAGGATCAAAATCTCAACAATCTAGACTGCATGTTCTCAGTGTCCCTTCTTGAGTACACAGGACAGGCATGAGCAGATCTAAAAGTACATAGGACTGATATGAGACTGCCAGCATGTTTTCTTTGCCAAATAAAAATATTAATTTTTCTCGGCAGCACTGGGCCTCCTACTTGGGGGCAAGTGCTCTACCACTTGAGCTACACCTCCATTCTTTTGATTTTAGTTTGTTTTCAGAGGTTTGTGCTTTTGCTTGGGCTAGCCCTGGATTATAATCCTACCTCTGACTCCTGAGTAGCTAGGATTATAGGCATGTACCACCATGCCCAGCCTCCAAATAAAAACATTTCTAAAAATTACTACCAGCAAGATTTCACAAACAAGAGGAAATTTCTATATGGGAAATACATGTTTTCAGAATAAAAGGTGATTCTTCCCAAGGAAGAAGACTGGGCAACTTTATACTGACTTTTATTTTTAAATTTTTTGGTGGTACTGGGGTTTGAACTCGGGGCCTCATGATTGCTAGGCAAGTGTTCTACCACTTGAGCCACTCTGACAGCCCTATACCGACATTTTTAAAAAGGTTCTATTTAAAGATATTTATTAATGCAGGAAAATTACAACATGAAATTTTGTTTTGTGAACATTCGTTGTACATGTTTTCCCCTT